CGCGTTTTAGAAAACTGTTTTAATAAATTGGAATTGATTAAAATACTCTATTTTGACAGAGTTCAGACAAGATTTTAGAAAAAATATCGATGTTTAAAAAAAAATTCAACTGCAATTCTGAGGGGGGGTTGTAGACTGAGGTGTGACGTCATTTTAGGGGGGGGGGTCTGGCTTTTTGTGACAACGTGTGACGAAGGGGAGGGGGGGGGGGGAGGTAAAAATCGTCAAAAAAAGCGTAACGTCATTTATAAAAAAAAAGTAAAGTTTCCCTTTCAAACCTGACGGTCTATGGGGCAAGCGAAGTAGAGTTCACTTGTTTCTGTGACCTCGGCATATGAAGAGATAGTGTGGTCAGCACTATGCCGAGCCGCCTTTACTTTCCCTGACATGAGTTAGGTACCCATCAGAGTTGGGTGGACTCAGGGAAGGTCTACTGATTTGAACCCGGATTCGAACTCGAGACTTACGGGTTAGCAGTCCAGCTCTCTACCGCTAGACCACTCCGTCCCACAACGTCATTTATGGATGACCCCCAATTAATTAGCCCTGTCGTCTTTCAACCCTGATACATATCCTTAGGATAATCATACAGTATTTCAATAAAGGGCGATAACAATACTTTTTAGTGTTATTTTATTTTCCTTGTTTATACTCCTTTAGAAAGATGCAATTTTACTGTTGAATTATTTATAGTTTTAATACAAAAACTTTAGCAATACACTTTTACAAATTTAGCCAGATGGATAGCGTATTTAAATATCAAACTATAAGCCTTAGAAACTGCTCACACATTGAAGCCACACATATAAACGAAGGATAAGATTGAATAAAATCAATTTGTTTTATTGTTTTGATGGATTAAATTAAGGGTTCCCAAACTTTTTTTACTCTAGAGCAGGGGTCGGCAACCTGCGGCTCGCGAGCCGCATGCGGCTCTTTTGATATCAAGACGCGGCTCTCCAGCTCCTTGCACAAATACAAATAATCTTAATCAAAAAATAAAATATGTGAAATAAAAAAATGTTAGTGGCTCTTTAAAACCAGGAAAATTTAGAAAATTGTAACTTTTGGCTCTTCCGCTTCAAAAGATTGCCGACCCCTGCTCTAGAGCACATTCCAAAATATCGGTAGGGTGGCGGGCACCACCTATTTGAAATCGACAAACTCCCTCCATAACTTGTCACTTTCCCATAATTTATTCTTTTTTTTTCTTATAGCCATAATGTATTTATAAATAATAAACAAAAATGTTTAAAAATAATAAAATTATTTGGCATTTTTTTTCAAATTGCATACACACAGAGAAATGTATTTACAAAACGTTAATACTAACTACTAAATAGTGCAGTCTGGCTCGACGCTAGACAAGTTGGGACAAGTATCGAACATATTTAATAAACCCAGGCAGTCAAAAAAAAACTGTAACAAATAAATAAAAATAAATCATATTTTTAAATTATGTTTATGAAAAAAATTCTGTCTCTGTCGAATAGTGAGAGGCGGGCACATACGAATCGTTCAGCGGGCGCCATGGTTGGGAAAACCCCTGGGCTAGAGGGTAGTCGTCGCTTCATAGTATGTTCAAAACACTATCGAATTTTTTTTTTTTTTTTGTTTTGTTTAATAAAATTGTAACTAGACGTTTTGTATTAGATCTATGTATAAGTAAACCATCTTAAATGAATGCAAGTAGGCTACAAGTAAGAAAGAAGTATTACTATTGTAAATCTGTATCAGCCTTCACAAGCCGATTATGAAAACTGTAATACTAAAGCGAACATGCAAGGCAAAATGACGCTTTAAATTACATGTCTGAGGCGTAAAAATAAAAAATAAAAAATAACGAAACATGGGTAAAGGCTTACGCGTAACACATTCTGAAATACCAGGGGATGTAACTGTAGAGAAACGGACACGTACAAGTTAACTTTCGGTTGTTGGACTTGTGTTTTTTATATTTAAAACGTTGTTCTACTGCATTTCTCGATGTCGCTGGTAAAAAAAAAATCACCCAGTATTTAGAATGATTGTGTATAAGAGTGGGAGTGGGTGAATGTATGTGTGTGTGTATGCGGATGACTATGTGTGTGTATATGTGTGTGTAACCTTATATATGTGCGAGTGACTGTACGTGTGTGTAAGGTTGTGTAAATTGTGTGTGTAATAATGTTCGTGTATGTGTGTATGTGTCTATGTATGTGTAACTGTGTGTGCGGGGGCTGTATGTGTGTGCGTGTGGGGGGGGGGGTGGCTGGGGTGGGGTGAAACTGTGTGTGAGCGTCACTGTGGTACAAATTGGTATCGTTTCTAGATGGGCGAAGTGGAATCGTATCGAGTGCAAGCTCAGTATCGTATCCAGTCTGTTTTTGTGCAGGTATCGTAGTTAGCTTCAGCTTTAGGATTAAGACCATCTTCAGGTATAGGATGAGGGTCTGGTTTAGGGTCAGGACTAGAGTTATATTTAGGAATATGATCAGTGCTAGGGTTAGTTAAGCACTACTGGCAAAATAAAGTATCGAATTGATAGTGCAAAGTTTTATCCAGAAGTTTTTTTTTAAAGATTTAATTTTTACATTATTTTCCCTCTAGCTGCCTGGTTCAATTGATAAGACTGTGTCAAAAGAAGAAGGAAAATAATTTTTTTTAAAATATATTTTTTTTACTTTCTTTGAGATTATTTTATCATCATCCTAATTATGATAGATCGCGATCTCGTAAAAACAACACAAACACACTCATACACTCACACATAAAAGCACGCGCATGATCTTCGCGACAGTGTGGGGAGCATCATCTCTTAAATATGACACAACCTGTTACATAATACGTTCTTTAATTAAAACTGGAGTACTCACTCTAATACCGTCTTGATATTTCATATGTCTCGTTATGTTACGTTCTGGCTATTGTTATGTTTCCACTCTATATGCCGCCTATCTAGGCCGAGTGGATTGGTTATGTTGTTGATGAAAGGTTGAAGGACGCATGATTATATATATGACTGACAGCTAGGCTATACATTATTAACGGTACCCTTATAATCTTAGGGGCGCCCATCTGATAGATATAAGCGCCAATATTATATAGAGGCGCCAGTCCTATACTAGGGGTTCCACTATTATACACAAACTATGGCGCCGATCTTATACACAAACTAGGGCGCCCATCTTATACACAAACTAGGGCGCCCATCTTATACACAAACTAGTGGCGCCAATCTTATACACATGCTATGGCGCCAATCTTATACACATACTAGGGGCGCCAATCTTATACCCATATTAGGGGCGCCAATCTTATACACATACTAGGGCGCCAATCTTATACACATACTAGGGCGCCAATCTTATACACAAACTAGGGCGCCCATCTTATACACAAACTAGGGCGCCCATCTTATACACAAACTAGGGCGCCCATCTTATACACAAACTAGTGGCGCCAATCTTATACACATGCTATGGCGCCAATCTTATACACATACTAGGGGCGCCAATCTTATACACATATTAGGGGCGCCAATCTTATACACATACTAGGGCGCCAATCTTATACACATACTAGGGCGCCAATCTTATACACATACTATGGCGCCAATCTTATACACATACTATGGCGCCAATCTTATACACTTACTAGGGGCGCAAATCTTATACACATACTAGGGCACCAATCTTATACACAAACTATGGCGCCAATCTTATACACATATTAGGGCGCCAATCTTATATACATACTAGGGCGCCAATCTTATATACATACTAGGGCGCCAATCTTATACACATACTAGGGCGCCAATCTTATACACATACTAGGGCGCCTTTCTTATACACATACTAGAGGCGCCAATATTATACACACTAGGGTGCCTCTCTTTTAAACATATGCTAGGGACGCACCTATCATCTCTTCTATATAGACTAGGGGCGTCCAGCTTATAGACATACTAAGGGTGTCAATCTAGTACATAATTTTAGGGCGCCAATCTCGCAGATATAAAAATGCGCCTATCTTAAAGATGTACAAGGGGCACCCATAGTAAGCTAGAGGCGCCAAAGTTTTAGAAATATAGGGCGTCAATTTTACGGATTCTATACTACTCCCCATCAAATTGACATACATATTCTAGGGCCCCCCCCCATAGACACATACACGTTTACTAACTCTCTAAAGCCTATAACACACCGTCTGTGAAACATACAACCTAACGACACGTCTAACCGTTCGATCACACACCTTGACGATGTCTAACAAGTCTCCTAATGACCAGACTTGATTGATTTCTTTGCCTAGGGGCATTTGAATGGTTTATCCTGGTGGATACGTTTGAAATACTCATCGACCAATGGGAGCTTTGATTACATATTAAAGCCGAATTCTGATTGGCTGAACGCGTATGACGAGGTACGTATCGTCACGAGAGCATGCCACGTGTCAAGTTGATTTTACACTTTCACCTATAAGTTCAAATCACGTTGATTTCATTCCAAGAATCTTTTTCATAGGTAAGCTGTTAGCTTAAAAATGTCATTTTTTAAAATTTCTAATTATTTAAATTGCACTACCAATATTCAAAGATTAAAATGATAACATCTCCCAATTAATAAAGGCTATAAATCCAATGCAAAAATTACGTAACTAATATAATATACTTTAAGAACCCATCTAACCTTACGGATCATGTTGCATCACTGGCCCATCTGCCTTCACTTTCCCTAACGTGAGTCAGGTACCAATAGGAGCTGGGTGGACTCAGACACGTCCTACGGATTTAAGCCCGGGATCCGAACTCGCGACTTCAGAATAGCAATTTAACGCTCTACCATTCGACCATGCCGTTTTAGTTTTTGATATTTAACTCTATAAACTAATACATTAGATGCTTTTAAAAAGTAAATTAAAAATAATTTTAAAAACACAAAATATACGTTTGTATTGTCCTAGTCATGTTGGTTTATAGTTTTTGTTTTGGTAATATTTTTTGTAACTTTCAACAGCGTTATATTTTGTATGAGCAACCATCTAAACATGGCAAGAGCGGCAGCCATGTTGGTTGCCTTGGTTACCATCTGCCTGACGCAGCGCCTTGTCCAATCAGAAGTGTTGAGCCAAGCAGACGAGCAACGGCTGACCACTCTGATACAGCAGGTCATGGAGTGCAGGGACATCCCTGGTCTGACGATGACCATCGCTAGAGGTCAGTGCAACGGTCACTTCACTGAACCGATTTTTTTCAATTGTAACACATCTTTTGCTAGGGGTCGGCGTGGTCGAGTTGGTAAAGCTCATGGTTGCTAAACCGAGTTCGAACTCTCGGCCAGATGAGGCTCGTTAGCTGAGGACAGCCACTCTTCTAGGAGAGACAACTCCAAAATTAAACAACTGTTGCCTTGTAGTTTGTTCTTGGTTGGACAAAGGCTATGGAAGCAAATCCAAAAAGAAAAGCAGGCTGAAATCGGAGTCAGCGGCCTGAATAGCGCATAACCAGTTGACGCGTATCCCTAATTGTGTTGGAGGGGGAATCCCTTCCAACACTAAAATTAAGAACGAAGAAGAAGAAGAAACATCTTTTGCTAAATTGAAAAGTCCCGAGTTCGAACCCCGGGCAGATGAGGCTCGATAACCGGAGACAAAAACTCATCTAGGAGAGACAACTCCAAAAATCAAACAACTGATGCTAACACGGCATCACTGGGTGTATGACCTTAAGTAAAGGTCACCGACCAGGACGCATGAGTTCCTAGATGAACTTCGATGGTCACGTGTTCGTGACCAAGGTGCAGAGGCGTAGCGACCCTTCCCGGCGCCCGGGGACAAACTTTTCGATTTGCACCCCCTCGAGATTTTGATTTGCACCCCCCCCTCAAACTTTCGATTTGCACCCCCCTCGATATTTCGATTTGCACCCCCCCCCTCAAACTTTCGATTTGCACCCCCCTCAACCTTTCAATTTATTTTTCCAACCCATTTTGGCTCCCCCTAAGGTCGGCGCCCGGGGACATATGTCCCCCCCCCTCGCTACGCTACTGCCAAGGTGAGCGCTCTAGATGGAGACATCCGGCTGTGGTCAGGTATGGAGTGGGGTGGTCGCCACCATGCGACAGTTAGCCCTAGACACACCACACACCTGTAGTGCCTCCAACGTAGGGCCGGCGCTACCTATAAGGCGAACTAGGCGGTCGCCTAGGGCGCCATCCCTAAAGGGGCGCAAAAGGTTTAATCGCTTTTATCAAAAAGTATCTAATAATTAATAACTTTTATAAAGGAGTAGCGATCTATTTCGGCACCTAGGAGTAACTATCAATTTTTCATCCCCATCCCAAAATTAGGTCTATATAGGCCTATATTTAGTCGCGATGGTGAAAATGCAACCCCACCTCCATATTTGGAAAGGTCGGGGCGCTTTTTACCAGTCACTTTGCCTTTTTAATTTCGTGTCACATAATTGATGTAGAAAACGATCAAATAAGTTCGTAATTTAAATTTCGAACATTTCAAACGGTTATCTAATTTTAATAGGGCTTGTATGTCTCGTTTTCTCCGACTTTCAATTAGAAATCTGTCCTGGTGTATAGATTTTTGTAATGACAGGGTGTTTAAAGTATTGTACTTGTTTTGTAAGTTTTGATGAATCGTTTAGATTTGGGAGTAACGGCGGAAGAACTGTTGCTGATATGGTTTCGTAGGTATAAAGTATCGAAGTGTTAAAGTGTCGTATTTTTTATTTAGCTGTCGTGTAGTTGAAGGTTTAATGGAATCTGATTGGCAGTAAATAAATGAGAATGCTGGTGATGAAGTATCGTAGTTCTGGAGTTCGGGAGTATTGATTCTTGTGGTATTAGGTTATCAAATTATATTGACTGTTAAAGTGTAGTAGTAGGTCTAGTGAAATAGTTGTTGATTGGGAGTACCGTTTGTAGATCTTGGTGAAGTTAAACAAGTTGGTGTCGTAGTTCTGGAGCATCGAGTCTATTTATGTTTAGGTATCGAATTTTGATAAGTGTTGTGAATGTAGTAGAGTATATCGAGTAGTCGAGTTTATCGTCAGTTAGATGATTTCAATTCAGTACGGAACACACTACAAAGAAAGGTAGGCGTTCTCTAGTTGAAAAAGCTTTAGTTTTTTAGGAATCTATATTACCACTCTTAAAGTATTAATATATAATATTAAGGATGGAATTTATAACTAACCGTAAACTTTGTATTTTCAAATTAAAATTGTATTTATTTATTTATACTTCTAGCAATGTCTAAAGTAGTTACCCATATTTGAATTGTTGAAAGACATCCCTTTATTTAGGGGATCCAAAATTTGTATGATTTAACAGTTTTTAATAGTTTAGGTGTATATGGTAAATGTCATCACAATTGAATAGAACTATGTTAAAATTTATTTACTGGTTTTAGACTTTCAAACAAAACCTACACTTAAGTTTTTAATCGGTAAAATATGTTGTTTTTAAAGTTTACATAGCTAATATAAACGATTTGTTATAATTATTACGTAATGAAATTTAGAACATTTTATTGTGTTTTTCAAACATATCTTAGCTACACTTGGTTTATTTAGCAATTCTTGTGAAAGTTATTTCCCTTGAATAAAATTTCGTTATTTGGGTTTTTCAAATGGGAGATAATTCGTTGCTTAACTTTACATTCATTTCAAATTTCATATATACAATTTAAGATTGGAATGGAATCTATAACATTTATAACCTTTTATTTTTCAAAAACAAAAAAATCGTTACATAATCACACAATATATACATTTTACAATTATAACTTAAGACAGTCAAGCTAAAAACAGGTAAGTTCCGTTTCGGAACTCACCTTAGGAGGACTGCAGAGGACTGCAGAGAGCCCAACACTACAAGAAGTTTTTTTTCTAAGGGGGGGGGGGGGGGGGGGGCTATGTCGTAAAGTACAAAGTAGATTCGTGGACGATTTCAATAGAATGTGATTACGCTTGCAAACTGGAATTGAAAGAATTAGTACAAACTTTTGCAACGAAGAATTCAAGTAAAATTTGATTTCGATGTCTACTTATGACGTGTATGCAATTGTTAATAAATTTATATATCACTTTTAATTAATTATTTTCTTATACATGTATTTTAGCAATTAATTTGTTTGAAAGGGGGCGTTTTAAGAAGTTTTTCCTAAGGGCGCTAAATAACCTGGCGCCGGCACTGCTCCAACGATATAATAAGAGTTAAAGGAATATTTGTTTATTATTTTTATTAACATATTTTAAAGTACTTGAACTACAGATTAATTCAAGCCATTCAGTTGGTTAAAGTTAACAATGTTTTAAAACTTTTGAACTGAATCCTTTAGTATCGATACAATTCTCTCATGATCTTCTACCCTCCTAAATTTCTGCCACGTCCTCTGAGCTTAGGATAGTCTAGAGCTCTCACAACTCCTGTATTTATATGCTAAACTCTGAAGCTTGGATTATCCTTTGTTCAGTATCAGTTGTTCTGCTTAAAATTTATATCGTAAAAATGATTCTGCCATAGGGCTGGTAAGTAGGTCACCAACCATTTCTATGGCTCATGCAGGTTTTATTGAGCCGTAGAACTGGTTGGTGACCTACTTACCAGCCCTATATGCAAGACATTAGATACTTAAATATGTATATATGACATAGACACAATATCGTTAAATAATATGTCACTGTAATATGTCACTGTAATTTCACTGTAATATGTTACACATTGCATGTAACATTTAAATCAAACATATGACTTAACATACAACTTAAAATCAGTTACATTTTTAATTTAAATTTGTTCCTTGCAACATGTGCCCACCTACTGCAACATGTGCCCACCTACTGCAACATGTGCCCACCTACTGCAACATGTGCCCATCAACTCCAACTTATCCCTGTACATTTGTTGCAGGTAAAGAGTATAAAACAATCCCCCTGGGGGTGGCCAACAAAGCCACGGGAGAGAAAGTCAACTCGAGGACTTTGTTCTACATGGGGGCCATCACACAGAGCTTCACGGCCACCTTGTTGGCCGAACTTATCCAGAGGTCAACGGGCGTGTAAGTGGACTTGTGTGTAGGTCATTGTGTGTGTAGGTTATCTGGTGTGTAGGTCATCTGGTGTGTAGGTCATCTGGTGTGTAGGTCATCTGGTGTGTAGGTCATTGGGTGTGTAGGTCATTGGGTGTGTAGGTCATCTGATGTGTAGGTCATTTGATGTGTAGGTCATCTGGTGTGTAGGTCGTCTTGTGTGTAGGTCATCTGGTGTGTAGGTCATCTGGTGTGTAGGTCATTGGGTGTGTAGGTCATCTGGTGTGTAGGTCATTGGGTGTGTAGGTCATTGGGTGTGTAGGTCATCTGGTGTGTAGGTCATCTGGTGTGTAGGTCATCTGGTGTGTAGGTCATCTGTGTGGGTAAAGTCATCTGGTGTGTAGGTCATTGAGTGTGTAGGTCATCTGGTGTGTAGGTCATCTGGTGTGTAGGTGGACTGGTGTGTAGGTCATATGGTGTGTAGGTCATCTGGTGTGTAGGTCATCTGGTGTGTAGGTCATTGGGTGTGTGGGTCATCTGGTGTGTAGGTCATCTGGTGTGTAGGTCATTGGGTGTGTAGGTCATTGGGTGTGTACGTCATCTGGTGTGTAGGTCATCTGGTGTGTAGGTCATTGGGTGTGTGGGTCATCTGGTGTGTAGGTCATCTGGTGTGTAGGTCATCTGGTGTGTAGGTCATCTGTGTGGGTAAAGTCATCTGGTGTGTAGGTCATTGAGTTTGTAGGTCATCTGGTGTGTAGGTCATTGGGTGTGTAGGTCATCTGGTGTGTAGGTCATCTGGTGTGTAGGTCATCTGGTGTGAAGTTGGACTGGTGTGTAGGTCATCTGGTGTGTAGGTCATCTGGTGTGTAGGTCATCTGGTGTGTAGGTCATCTGGTGTGTAGGTCATCTGGTGTGTAGGTCATTGGGTGTGTAGGTCATTGGGTGTGTAGGTCATCTGGTGTGTAGGTCATTGGGTGTGTAGGTCATTTGGTGTGTAGGTCATCTGGTGTGTAGGTCATTGGGTCTGTAGGTCATCTGGTGTGTAGGTCATCTGGTGTGTAGGTCATCTGGTGTGTAGGTCATTGGGTGTAGGTGGATTGGTGTGTACTTCGTCTGGTGTGTAGCACATCTGGAGTGTAGGTCGTCAGCTATGTAGATCATCTAGTGTGTAGCTCCTCTAGTTTGTAGGTAATTAATTTTGTAGGAGATCAGTTGTTAAGTATCAGGTACGTAGGTCTATTGGCGCCTAGGGTCACAATAATTTTAACACTATTGATTATTACATTTTGAAAAAGAAGACCTTTAACTATTCTCAGAATATGGAATTAATAATAAACGTCCAAATTACTTCAGCAAATGTTAAATAATTTAAGACACATTATCTACCGCTCATGAATGTTTTTGAACCCTTAATCTACGTATTCAAAGTGTAAGACAAAATACTTGTATGATTATCTGGCAGACAGCGGTTAACGTTTCGATTTTGACTGTACGTATATTATTGAATACGAGCCGACCCGCTGCGTATCATACGCCGCTATTTAGTTTTTTTTTTTTCTACTTTTCAGTAATTTATAATTTGTGAATTCGACAGTACCAATGCTGCCACTGAAAATATTTGCTTAAAAACACTAAACCCCCCCTCCCCCCACGTGAAAGCAGCCTCCTCTTAGTTACCTCCTCTAAGTTTAAAATCGTTTCAACTAAATTATCTGCCCCTAATAGCCGTCACCAAACCCGTCTCTATGATTGTAAAATGTAAACAGCGTGACCACAGCTCACCTGACAATGTGGGGGTGGGGGTGATAGTGATAGAGAGAAAGAGAGGGGACTGCAAGGAGGCGCTTGCAGCTTGTTTTCTAACGGCTCCCAGAAGAGAATTATATTTAAAGATAACCCACAGTCAACTGAGGCATTAGCGTTTTGTGTACTATATACGTTCAACACTGTATGCCTTTTTGTGTTTAACGTAATAACATGTATTTCTAGCCTCCATTTTGACACGCCCATCGCCCAGCTGATTGGCGGGGAGTTCCAGCTGTCCAGTAAAATCTTGACCGAGCAGATCACCTTGAGAGATGCACTCACCCACAGGACTGGACTCTCCACAGGTATTTCTAGAACTTTCTTCTACAGGTAAATCTCACTTCTCTTGCACTTGACTTTCTACATGTAAGGCTAAGTTAGTTCTAGAACTTTCTTCTACAGGTAAATCTCACTGCACTTGACTCTCTACAGGTAAGGTTAGTGTAGTTCTGGAACTTTCTTCTACAGGTAAATCTCACTACTCTTGCACTTGACTTTCTACATGTAAGGCTAAGGTAGTTCTAGAACTTTCTTCTACAGGTAAATCTCACTTCACTTGACTCTCTACTGGTAAGGTTAGTGTAGTTCTGGAACTTTCTTCTACAGGTAAATCTCACTTCGCTTGAGTCTCTACAGGTAAGGTTAGTGTAGTTCTGGAACTTTCTTCTACAGGTAAATCTGACTTCACTTGACTCTCTACAGGTAAGGTTAGTGTAGTTCTGGAACTTTCTTCTACAGGTAAATCTCACTTCTCTTGCACTTAACTCTCTACAGGTAAAACAATGTCATATTTAGATGTGTCTTCAATAGGTAAATCACTCGCATTTCTAGAACTGTCCCTTACATGACAGTATATGACACATCTAACAGGAGAATACAGATCAATATGACATATTTTGCACCGGACTCTACTGTTCTTCTTCTTCTTTGTTCTTTATTCTAATGTTGGAAGGGATCCCCTCCAACACAATAAAGTATACGTGCCAACTGGTTATGTGCCATTTAGGCCGTTGACTCCGATTTCAGCCTGCTTTTCTTTTTGGATTTGCTTCCATAGCCTTTGTCCAACCAAGAACAAACTACAAGGCAGCAGGTGTTTGATTTTGGAGTTGTCTCTCCTAGAAGAGCGGCTGTTCCCAGGTGTTGAGCCTTATCTGCCAGAGGGTTCGAACTCGAGACTTTTCGGTTCAGCAACCACTAACTTTACCGACCCAACCACGCCTATTAAAACTATGACATTTCTCGAACTTACCCGCTCCTTAACAATATAGCTTTAAATGATGTCCATTCTACATGCATGTTGAAGAATTATCATGTAAAGCCTAGACTTAACACTACGCAACTATCTGATAGACAATCACTGTCTTACAATACGATAAGAAGTTCGCCGACATGAGTGCGTTTTTGTTAGACCATTTTTGACTTTCTCCTTAGTTAGGAAGTTCTCCAACTATCAAGCATATTTTTTTTACAGTTCTAACCAAGAATATCGCAACAAAATTTGGCAAGTAAAATAAATTTGGCAACAAATTCTGAACAAACCTGGCAAATAATCTCATAACAAAATGTAACAACAAAATTTGGTAACTAAACTAAAGATATATTTGGCAACACATTCTGAAAAAACCTGGCAAAAAATCTCATAACAAAATGTAACAACAAATTTGATAACTAAAATATACCTACATTTGGCAACTAATCTAACAACAAGTATAGTTGTAGCCTGTCAAAGAAATTTTTTTAAAAGTAGTACTATACTGTTTTAAAAGAATGCTGATATATGTAATTTATTTGTTGTAATAGAAACTACACATCAACTTCTGTTGCTTGTACAATCATTGAAGACGTTTGTAATCTCAAGCACATGATGTGGGTCATGTTTACGTTGAGCGTCAGCATACATTCAACATAAACATTTACATTGGTTTCGTTTAGTGTAAAATGTAGGGTAAATAAAATTCTCCACCCACCACTTTAACGTCATTGAAAAATTTAAAATATGTGATTTAATACAACTGCATATGTCTACATATGCTAACAATATGTGCTGAGAATCTAAAAAATAATTTAAAAAATATAAAAAAATTTAAAAAATTCCACAATTTGAGTTCCCGCCCTTAGTTTTTCTCTACATCCTTATCTCCCCTACTAATCTTTATCTCCACTTACGCAACGAAACACTAGGGTCACAGCCTAGATTTTTACCCCGCACTCCGAGTTGAAAGCGGGAAAAAAAAATCTCCATCAAGTTTTGTTTAAAAATTTTATAACATAAAAAAAAAATGTAAACGAATTTGTTGTATTTCGACACTTTGTCTTAACCCCGAGGTCACACGCCCACGCAATCTCTCCACCCAGACCCCCACCCCACCCAGTCCCGACCTACAAATCCCGGTGGCGAGTCCGCTCCGTTACATCACCGATGGGGATAAAGTCACGAATTCAGGGGAGACGACCCCAACTAGCACTAACTAGTCCAAATTCTCGTTTTAATTCAGACTTCTAGAATCTACCACTGGAAGACGTAAGCAGGGATGGCGGTGGTGAGGGGGGGGGGGGAGGTGAAGGATTAAACTCTGAAGAGACCCCCGGCGGTAATATTTCAATCTGAAACAAAAAATAAATACGTTCTTGGATACTGGGGAGGTTGCTGTGAAAATAATATATGGCAAGTCAAATTTAGTGGGCCTCATTGCACTTGTTGACCTTTATAGGTTAGTTCTTCACTCAATTCTCGCTGACCATTACTTTTTAATGGGCCCCATATTTGCTCCATTTAGCCAACTAAATATCCTCTATTTCCGTTGACCATTATTAACTAAAGTTCCTCTATTTTCGTTGAATATTGCTAGCTAAAGCCCTATATTTTTGTTGACCATTACTAACTAAACCCCCTGTATTTTCATTGACCATTACTGACTAAATATCCTCTATTTTTATCGACCATTACTAACTAAAGCCCCTCTATTTACGTTGCCTATTACTAACTAAAGAAACTCTATTTTAGTTGCCCCCGACTAAATCCCCTGTATTCTCTTTGACCCTTATTGACCAATGGCCATTTCATACAAAAAAATTTACTACTAAAACTTGACCGACCTTTGACCTTCTACCACAGGAAGTATCGCTGGACTGACAGGTCTACCGCAGGCAATGTCTCGTGCAGAGGTCATCAGGTAAGGTCTAGTGGTCACGTGTTGTTAATTGCCAACTAAAGCGTTTTAATTTGTTAATCTGTATAAGCTATGTATGGGTTTGATTTGCACTCACATTAAACGCCATACCGCAAAAATGTGGCCAAACAATTATTTAAATTGATGGCTTTTCTCTCTATATATATGTATATATATATATATATATATATATATATATATATATATATGAGGATATTTCAAATCAAAACAGATTTAAATGAAATGTAAACAATAATTTTGACAATTTATGAATAAAAACGTGACTTATGTCACAAAAAAAGAATAAATCATAAACGAAAAAAACAAGCAAAAAACAACCGTCAAGTTTCAAACTATTTCCAAACTTTCTAAATTTCATATCAAAGTTTTACTCGTATTTTTATTCTCCTTATCAACATTTTGTGCAGAATTTTAATTTTTAAAAAAACCAGAAATGATTGATGCTATCACCCCTATCTATGACGACTTGAGCTAAATAAAAAAAATATCTCCGCCCCTCTCTCTCCCCCCCCCCCCCGCCACAACACGTGATAAGTAGAATGTGAGGTGTAAATGACGAGCGAGTCCGATAACTCGTTTCCTTTATTATCCTCCCACATTCATCGCCATCTGAAATAAGATTACCACTCATCCAAGTATTCCATTTAAATTATCGCACATCAAAGATAGCGGGTCACACTTAGTTAAAGATTCAGAAGGCGCAGGGAAATTTTATATCTTGTCCGAAATTCGGTGCCAAGTCAAAAAAAAAAAATTATGGGATGGGAGAAGTGAGTGGCTAGCCCAGGTTCGGGATGGACTGACGTCTTACTTTTTTCTTCACAAACTCAACACAACACCGCTTAGATAATATCTCTGGAGATGGCTAGGGGATGTGAGACTGCTTGTACAGGGATCCTTGATTTAACTGAAACTTCTGGTCACCCTAGAAATTTACATTCATTTATTTTGTATCGTTTTAACATTTACATTTTTATCCCAATGAAACGTATAATAAATGGCATCCCGTTTATATATATATATGTTACGGTCAAAGCCCGAAGTTGGCCAATGCGCGGATTGGCCGGCCAATGCGCGCATTGGCCAATATCGCCTCCCATAGGTCGGTCAAAGTCCGAAACTTTGCTTGATTTCGGCCTTTGGCCGGCCAATCCGCAGACTGGCCATGGTGGACCGACCAAAGTCTGAAATAGCTCTTGATTTCGGCCTTTGGCCGCCCAGTCCGCGGACTGGCCATGGTGGACCGGCCAAAGTCTTAATTAGAAGATCATCTGGCTAGGGACGACCGGCCAAAGTCCGAATTAGAAGATCATGAGCAGATTTTGGTGTTTTTTATGCCGTAAGGATCATGAAATTAAGTCTTTATTGATTATTAAGTAAAGTAAATGACAGAAACATCCAAATTTTTTATTGTACTATAGTCTCAATCTGAATCAATCAATATTATCACTTGTTACAACAGGTTGAACTTTTATGGCATTTAGAATTACGTAGTAGCTTGTTATTTTTACACTTGCAGCGATTTGTTGTGCACTTAGTTGTGCAATTGCAGCGAGTGTAACGTTGGCCCCCAGTCAATGATTGTGAAGATGCGATGGTTCGTAGTGATTTTTCCTCAGTGCCAACTGTCGACATTAAGAGCAGTTTTTCGTGAAGAATTGAAAACTCACTTCTAGCATGCAGTTGTTTTAGAACACCATGTTCCGTTCCTAATTTGTAGAAACCGCCCTCGACGCTCATGACAACTACAATCGGGGATCACCGCGACCTCTGTCAACATCTGGAACACGGATGCGTACATTGTCACCCACTTCACCATCTTTAAATTTTGTATTTGATGTTTTAAGCATCTTAGCACCTTGGGTTTGCAAACCAGTATGAGCTGCTGATCTGTGATCCATGACGCCCACGCCATCTCAAGTCGCTTGGACACTATTGTTCAACTTACAAGGAACGCGGCAAAGTCTTTTGAACGTTCCGTCTTGTTGCAAGTGGTCGGTGACGCCGACTGTCTTTGATTTAGTTCTTTGATGATTGTCATCATGGAGGAGTCTGTCACATACAGTTGTAGCCCATATATGGAAGCTAACATGGATTTACATTTTTTTTTTCTTTTGACAGCCATCTGCTATGTCTGTCTCATGGTCTGACGGCCTTTTTTATCCAAGCCGCCTTGCATATAGAATGCTATACAAAATAGCCAAACAATACGTTACTCACAATGAAACCGCACCCAGAATAATGAAAACGCGATCACAACTTAGTCTAGATAGGACATTGGCCAGGACATCCCGGCCAGTGCGCGCATTGGCCGGCCAATGTACAAAATACGTTGTCGAGTTCAAGCGTTTCGGACTTTGGCCAGCACGTCTCGGCCAGTGCGCGCATTGGCCGGTCAATGTACGAAATACGCTCTTAGTGCTAAGTTCTTCCGGCTTTGGCCAAGAGAGCCGGCCAATGCGCGCATTGGCCGGCCAATCCGCGCTTTGGCCGCACTTCGGGCTTTGACCGTAACATATATATATATATATATATATATATATATATATATATATATATATATATATATATATATATCCTGTACATATACATAACACAAACATCTATATATATATATATATATATATATATATATATATATATATATATATATATATATATATATATATATATATATATATATATATACATACATATACATATAAATAATATATATATACATATTATGTATATCAATATATCCAAATATCCATATATATATATATATATACTAGCCGTCCCGGCCAGGCCCTGCTCTGGCTTCTGTGAAAAACCTTTCTGTTAAAGACCATTACCTGTGTGTTTAGTAATCATCATAAACCCGGCATTGCCCACCCAAACCACAACCAACCAAAACCAAAACAACAAAACACAAACATAACGCTAACACAATTACAAATACAAACGAAAACAAAAACCTAACAACAAACCCAACCACAACCACAAACACCAATACAAACACAAACAAAAAACAAACAAAAAAGCAAACGAAAACAAAAACCTAACAACAAACCCAACCACAAACACCAATACCAACAAAAAAAACGACGAAAAAGCAAACGAAAACAAACCAAATCCAAACGCAAAACCAACCAAAAACACAAATACAAACCCAAACAAAAAAACACAAACAAAAACGAAAAAAGAAAGAACAAAAACGAACCAAATCAAAACGCAACCACTAACGCAAACCCACCTAAACACAAAGAAAACACTAACGCGAACATAAACGCCCGGGGCGGAATCACCTGTTTTAGCTTAATGAACGACTATAGTACCCCAACTTATTCACAGTCTTTTGCACTCACTTAAACGAACGCGCCTGTTTCAATTTAATGAACAATTTTAATACTCCAAGCTTATCCGTAAAATACCTACAACATTTGCACTTGATCAATCCCCGCTAATTATGTAATTATTTTTTTTCCCAACACCAAAACAAAGTAATAAAAAGTAAATTATTTTCCACTAATGCAATGGTTTTATAAAGGGAAGTAATTGTGTTTTCCTAAGTTATCAAAGGGAAGTAAGTGCTATAGGACTAAATAAAGACATAATTAGAATTTTTGTAAAAGATGATATCTTTTTAAAACTTGAGTTTAATGAACATGCCGACAATTATTACTATAATTTGAAAAATGAAAATTATTTCCCAACACTTTCAATAGTAGTTTTTTAACTCATAAATTTAGACAAATGCGCACGATAATTGTCTAACACTTAAATCCATCCAAGACCAACGACAAACATATGCGTTACATACAGAACTGAGCTTTATATATTAGATATATATATATATATATATATATATATATATATATATATATACATATATATATATATATATATATATACATATATATATATATATATATATACATTTGTAAGATAAATATAACAATATATACCGATTGAGCCTAACACAACAACCATCCCCAACCCCACTACGTATGTGACAGCCAGCTGAAAGAACTACCACAACAAGCCCACTTCCGGGACGACTTCAACTTCAACCAGTTCATGTACACCCTGGCCGCCTACGTGGGTGAGAAGATCTCCGGCAGCTCCTGGGAGAAGCTGATGCGGACCCACATCCTGGACAAGCTGCTGATGACGTCAACCCTTGTGGCGACGGACGACACCACCGGCCCAGATTTCGCCAGGTCGTACGTGTCGGAGGAGGGGAAGATGGTGGAGGTGCCGCCCCAGTCTATCGAGTGAGTTCATTGTTGGCACTGTCCATTGGTTTGTCACGTAGGTCTGGCTACGGTAAATTAAGGCGTTTCGATTAGTGCTCTCAATACTAAATTTAGAAACTGCATGACTAACGAGACATCATATAAGTTTGACTGATTTTACTGTTTAATTCCTCGTGAGCGCTATGGCGCCTACGTTCGTTTTAAACAGTGCGATAGACTATTAATAAGATAGGGTATTATAGTCATTCACTAAATTACATCAGTCGCGATATATATATATATATATATATATATATATATATATATATATATATATATATATATATATATATATATATATATATATATATATATATATATATATATATATATATATATATATATTTATATATATATATATATATATATATATATATATTGTATATATATATATATATATATATATATATATATATATATATATATATATATATATATATATATATATGAATATATATCCATCAATCCCCAGCATTGGACCTCTAGCACCTGCAGGCACCATGTACACTAACGCCGAAGACATGGCGAAGGCTCTCAAATTTTACCTTGGGGACCCACATCTCATCGCCCAGGTGAAAATCGCCCCGCCCCTGTTGGAGGAGCTGATGAACCCCCGGGTCGTACTTCCGGTTGGCTTTCGTGCCAGCCTGGACAGGTCCAGCCACATGTGGCCAGTGTCTGACGTCAACGTGGGCTACGGGATGGGATTCTTCCGGAACATTTACAGAGGTGAGAGAGATGTGGATGGACGGGGTGGTGGTTTGAGTCTATTATGGCTCAAATAGGATGCAAAACACGACACAGATTTAGTTGTATATTTCTATGATTTTTAGAATCCTGACATGATCCAAAAAGAATTCTGAACTGGTTAATAGATGATTAAAATGCAGTGTAGACCTGCTCTATAGAAGGTTATAAGAATTGTCTTTTATTGCCTAGACATGGTCCTTCGTGATTCTGTCGTGGTCAAGATATTGTCGTAGATATTCGGTCAATTAAAAACGTCCATATTTCAGATTATATTATGACTTATGAAACTATGTATATGTTTAAACACACTGTTAAAATAAAATGTAACCATCGATGGGGTTCAAGTTTTTTGCTAGCCTGGATGTATTAAAACAAAATATTACGAGCATTCGCTTCTTCATCCTATCATTTGGAGCTAAATCCTTTTAAAGCCTTCTAGCTCTACTTGTATTTAATTACTCTCTAAAGTCTGATGATACAGTTTAAGCAACCAATCCTAATTAGTTTCGTCTACAAATAAAGTAATAAACAAATAACTAAAAAAATTCAAGATTTAGAAGTTCTATATTCATATGTTCCATGTTTTTGTTCTAGGTTTCCAGGTGCTGTGGACGGCCAAAAAAAAAAAAATAAAAAAAATCAAGTTTTAGAAGTTCTATATTCAGATGTTCCATGTTTTTGTTCCAGGTTTCCAGGTGCCATGGATGGCCAACAGTGTCCACGGGTTCACGTCCATCATGTGGCTGGTGCCAGAACGAAACGTTGGCATCTTTATAGCAGTCAATGGCCAGAAACACACGGACCTGCCACTGGCCACTGTACAGGTGATACATGTTTTAAAAAATATTTTTGCTCAAATGTTTATTTTATCGAACCTTCACAAATATTTAGCCAGTTAAAAAACTTAAAAAAAAAATTCTAGGAAAATAATTTCCACAGCTATTTAGGACTATAAAACATGAAATAAAACTATGTTAGATTTTAAATAGAAAATAATTTTTATAAAAATATTTTATTCCAAAATTGCTAGAATTTAAAAGTTTATTTTTATTTGAACAATTACTAGTTCAATGTTTGTAATCTTTACTTCACAATTACAAGAAATTAAACCTTTTCTATCATTATTCCACTATTACTAGAAGATTAAAATCTATTATCTTTATCCCACAATTACTTAGTTTAAAATCTATTATTTTTATTCCACATTAACAAAGAAGTTGAAAGTTTGCATTCATTAACCCTCAATTATTAGAATTTTGTTAACTTTATTCCACAAAAAACCAGACACTAACCTACTTCGCAACGGATCTGCTTCTGGGTTTCGAACCCTGGATCAACGAAACCTCCGCGTGCTTATTCCCCGAACCCTTCATCAAAACCCCAGAGCTACCCGACGTGGAGTTCAAACCCCAGCCCTCAGAATTCGCTCTCACCGACTACCAAGGCATCTTCACCAGCAAGCTTCTCGGCGACATCACCGTTCGCAAGTCGACCTCCAACCCCAAGGCCTTGACCTTCACCATGGGAAAAATTACCGGAACTCTTTTACCTGAAGGCGGGAACATCTTCCGTCTGTTCTTAGAGGGCGACAACAAGTACATGCAGACTCCACTTCCGGGCAAGAATCCACTTCCGTTTACAAGACTGCTGTTTGAGTTCAAGGGCACGCAGTGTACGGGGCTGAAACTGCCTGATTCTATTTACGGCGGGAGCACTGTGGACTTTACCAGAACACAAAGTTTTAAGGAAGAGTTGTGATACTACTCGCATCCTGTTTTCTAGTATTAACACTGTAGTAGTTTAGTTTAGAAGTGGGACGGAGTGGTCGAATGGTAGAGCGTTTGGCTGCTATCCTAAAGTTATCTAGTTCGGATCTCGGTTAGGACATGTGACTGTAGGAAGTCACGGCTCTGATGGGTACCTGAATCACGTTGAGAAAAGTAATGGCGGCTGGGCATAATGCTGACCACACCATCCTTCATATGCCGAGGTCAAGAAACATCTGTCTCACTCATCTGCCTAATGGATCACTAAGTCCGAAGAGGAACTTTACTTTTACTTAAGTAATTTAGTTTAGACATCATCACATTAATATTCCACATACATGATACAAAATAATCATTTCTTTATTTAATAAAATATAAAAAAATAAAACGACTATAACATGTTTTGTTATTCATTTATATTTCTATTACAATCATCATAAGACATTTTAACATATCTTTCCCTAAATGCTGTTCATGTAAGTTCAAGGAGACCATTTTAAAAAATTTATCTAGAGATTATATTCCAAGCCCTTGTTAATTTCCACTAATGAATTCCTAATTTTTTTATGCTTTACACCTCCATAAACCCATGACACTTGGGTTTTCGTGTCGAGAATATTTTAATTAACACTCTACTTAACTCTCTATTCTTACCCTACTCCTCCACCCACACCTCTCACAAAAACCGCACACTTTACCCATTGTTCGTCCCATTTCAACCACACATTCGTGAGAAACCCACCGGCCCTAGTATCCCACCATAAGCCTAAACATCGAGAAGAGACGCTTGGAGTACACAAATACACCAGGACAATAATCTACAAACTTAATATTCGGACAACTAGCCACGACAGCTAGTCAGGACAGCCGTCAAGATGTAGTGGAGTTTTTCGGTTACTCGAAATAACACTAAGTAAAAATATCTCACATCGCCTCCCAAAAGAGTATATATATATATATATATATATATATATATATATATATATATATATATATATATATATACATACATATATATATATATATATATATATATATATATATATATATATATATATATATATATATATATATATATATATATGTGTGTGTCTATATTAACATACATATGTATATCTATATATTTATTTATATATATAAAGATATGTATATCTAGGCTATATGTATGCTTATATATATATATATATATATATATATATATATATATATATATATATATATATATATATATATATATATATATATATATATATATATATATATATAGTCAATTTAAATCTGAAAATAGATGTTCTAAAACGAGGTCGAAAAAAAATCAATACACTATTTCGGTCTCGGAGTCATTACAATTACACCGCTCCAGTAAGTCGTCGTATCAAAGCACCCCCCCCCCACCCCGCGCTCACCCCCACCCCCACGACACCGACCGTACGGCCGTCAAGCACCGAGCCAGCATAAGGTAAATACCAGCTATTTATTTGAAGTGTATCACGTGACTGCGTCAGGAAACTCAAGGAGATTTTTATTTTGATCAGCTGAGACATGGGTGTGAAACAATAATAAATAGTTCCTACCTCACATTGAAACGCACCGAACGACAAGACATTTTTCACCCCCACCCCTCCACAATCTGCGTTCTTGATAAAGGATCCGACGTGGTCGAGTGGTAGCGTAGGTCTGCTGGCCCGAAAGTTTTGAGTTCAGTCCCCACTGCGTACAACCGAGAGCTTGACAAAATGCTGTTCACAGTCACTGATTAACTAAACTCCAGCTTTCATAAGGTCCACATGTGTACACTTTCATATGGTCCATAAGAGTCTAGAAATAAACTTTCATACGGTCCACAGGGGTCTAAAAATAAACTTTCATAAGGTCCACTAAGATCTAGAAATAAACTTTCATAAGGTCCACTAAGGTCTAGAAATAAACTTTCATAAGGTCCACAATAATCTATAAATAAATATACATAAGGTCCACTAAGATCTAGAAATAAACTTTCATAGGGTCCATAATGGTCAAGAAATACATTTTCATAAGGTCCTCAAAGGGGAGGGGGGGGGGGTGTGTGGGGTGGGTGTTTCACGATCAGTAATACTCTTTCTAAAAATAGTTATTAGTTTAAAATCTGGAGGTGTCACTTAACTTAATTATCGAATGACTTAAGAGTTTGTAATTAAGATGTGAAGACTAATTAACAAATCCAATGCCATTTTAAGACCTAAGTAAAGATCAATTCAACACATTGACTCAAGTTATCTTCACTATGGGTGTGGCACCCGCCAAACTGCTAAGTAAAGTACGCCGTCGAACCTCAAAGTCCATAGTGCAGGTGAAGTAGAGTTCAACTAATAAATGACCTCTGGATTTGTAGTGACAGTGTGGCCAACACTATTCCCAATCCTAATCCCAACTTCCACCCCCCCCCCAATGTTATATTCTCAAAACTTTGTATTCTTTAAGACTTTAACGCGATACGTTTTTTTAAATCCATCAGGTAAACGCCATGTGTATTCACTTAAACAGCCGTATGTGGTTCCTAAAGCATTGGCTGAACGTTGTGCTATGAGTTACAGAGTAATAAAAAACACACACACATCAAACAAAATCAAATCTTTAAACTCCGATATTATCTAAATGTTCACAAATATAAAGCAGGCCCCCTATACTACACGTTTCATTAGGTCAAACCCTAAAACCCTTTCATTCGTTCAAAATATCAAAAAACGTTTCCAAAAGTTTGTTGTGTAATTGAAGTGTAAGGTACAATTTTACCCCGTGTAATTGAAGTACACTAAACAATTTTTCCCAATCACTCAACTATATAAAATGTCTCTCCATAGAACAGATTACAAGACCACTTTTTGATACTTAACAACTGAAGTCTTTTTCTCCCTCAACCCCTCGCTTAATAAAATCCATTTAGACATGTTTCAACCCAATTTAATTCTCATTGGATAACTTTGCATTGACTAGGGCAACCTCTCATGCTTACACCATTCACAACGAAAACGAGGCCCGCTTTAAGAAATAAATACCTAGCGAGGCTGAAATAACAGGGGCAAGTCACTCCGTTCTAAATGTTGTTTTGTTTTCTCCCCTGGCTATAGGGGGAGAAATAATTGAAGATCATTTGAACCAGTGCTTGGTCTGTTTCATTTACTTCAAACTCGCGGTCGTGTTTTTTCTAACAGAGATTATTTATAACTTCACGAAAACAGCTATCGTGGATATAATTAATTTTTTCTTAATGAGCGCCACGGTGTTAACTTAATCAGTGGACTTACGGCTATTGTAGAGCGAACACCTATACGGCCGACAGGACTGGGACGTGTTGTGTGTGTGTGTGTGTGCGTGTGTGACCCAGGATTGTAACAGGCTTTCTGTGGAACTTAGTTCATTGAGGGCTTGACACGACTTTTTTTCTGGTGGTTTACGGTAAAGAAAGGTAGGTCACATTATGTGTAGGTCTATCGTACGTAGAAATCTACAACACAGCTGACTAGACCTTAGTGATTAATATAGTATGGATCTTATATAGATCTTATATAGACCTTATATAACATATATATATATATATATATATATATATATATATAAGGGTGTATGTGTTTGTACGTGTACTTTTAAATATGTATATATATCTATATATACACAAGTCTTTATATATATATATATATATATATATATATATATATATATATATATATATATATATATATATATATATATATATATATATATATATACACACATCTGTAAGTCCATATGCAAATATGTATTTTCACATGTTTATATATATACGTAGGCTTGTGTATATATTACTATATACATATTTACAATATTTACACATATATTCATGCATGTATGCTTATACAAATACATATCAACATACTTGAATAGTATATATATATATATATATATATATCAGGTCTATGTGTTTGTAGAGACACATTTTCACTCATAAGTTGAAAACATGTTGCCTTCAACTAGACCTTGAACTATAACCTTGTATTTTCAAATGTAAAATTTATGGCTCTCACAGGTGTGTCCTGTTCATGTATTCCCACCCTCTCCCCCTCCCCCAGTTATACAGTTACCTCATTGTTGTAACCCTAACGTACTAAAACTCACGCACTAAACGAATCTAAACAAAGTCTTGAAATTCTGTTCAAATTTCAGTTATTTTTTTTATAACAAAGATGACCCAAAAAAGATCAAAGTTAAATCCTGACTAAAATTTTTTAAGGAATTTTTTAACAGAGTTACGTCAGATGTAAGCAGAGAATTTTAAACGATGAACTCACGGAGAATTGAAGGGGAATCTGTTTCAGCATTTCTTTAAAAAAAAATGGCATGGGTTATCGTTACTGCTGTCTCGCCTTGGCAGTTAAGATTTAAAATTCCGTTAAATTTTTTTTTCCGCCTTCGCCTTCCACATCCTTCACTCCGTCTAGAAATTTCGCAACGCGAAAAAAAAAGTGTAACATTGAGCTATCGCTCTTATCATACTCATTAACTTATGTGTTTTCTTAAACAGTGGGTCTCAAACTGTTTTCTAGAACATATTCTTTGTATTTTAACACGAAAAAACAAGAACAAACAAATACTAACAAGAGAATAGGAAGTGACGTCATTTACCAGACCATTGTGTGGTTCAACAAGGGCGGCTACTCTAATCATGTATGTCATCATAGAAAGGTTATCATCTTTTATATGGCAGTACTTCCGGTGTACAGATTTTAAAATTAAATGACGGGCTGGCGAGAAACGGTCTGTCTAAACTACTCACCCCCTCCTCCCCTCCCCTCCATTCAAATAGCTGCAGCTATGACTGGGGCACACGCGGGATAATAACAGAGGGTGGGGGTGGGGGAGATTTTCTCTGTAGGTCGGGATTGGATGAAAAGTGGTTGGGCTCGTGCCCCCCCCCCCCGGAATTACCGTGTGTGTATGTGTGTCTGTGTGTGTGTGTGTGTGTGTGGGGGGGGGGGTTAATAGATGTTAGAAGGCTTAATTAAGTCCACCTGGATTTATCTTGTACATATGTTATTAATTTTCAGGTATAGACGTTTTTAGCGTTCTACGACACAATCACAACAACATCAACAACAACATCAGCATCAACAGCAACACAACACGCATTGTTTTTATCATATTAACCATATTTCATTGTTACCGCGGTGCAAGCTTGATTATCAGTTACAGACTAGAGCACATTTAAAGTGAGATGTGCTTTTTAGCATACCGCATGTCTTTTGAAGATGGAGGCCTTTTATCTGACGGTCTGTGGGGCAAATAAAGGAGAGTTCACCTGTATCTATGACCTCGGCATATGAATGGATAGTGTGGTCAACACTACACCCAGCCGCCTTTACATTCCCTTACGTGTGTTAGGTACACATCAATGCTGGGTGGACTCAGGGACGGTCTACTGACTAGAACCTCCCCTGTTTCAAATCATTTAAAACATTTTTATCTGCCCCTAGTAGCCTTCATTAGATCGACCGGCTCTACGATTGTAAACATTCTCGTGAACCACAGCTCACCAGACTGTTAGAGTTATCGCGTCTAGCTGGTTATCTCCCCTTCTGTTATTGAATATAGTGATTTATTTTTGTTATCTCCCCTAAGTTTCGGAACCGTTTAATTAATTTTTAATGACGAATTAAGCATCTAATTAAATAAATTAAACAGATATACTTGTTTTATCATTGAAGTGGAGCACATCTTTAAAAGTTTGAGCGAAATCGCTGTGGGCCAAAATTGAGTTGCAAGATTTGCCATAGACTTTCTTCGTGGGGCGGACACTGTTAAAAGTATATATCTTCTATATAAATTATATAAATTTCATTTCGTTCGGGGGGGGGGGGGGGGGGGTAGGGGGGTGGCGGTAAAAAATTTTCGGTGGGGCTTAGCCCCCCCGAAGTGATGCCTGGAAGAAACTCTGTATAGAGACGTTGCGAAATAAATTAAAGCTTGTAAAAAAAGAAATAATCTAGAGATTTAACATGGTCTTTTTACGCTTTCGTGCACCCAATGTGCTTGTCAGAGATTAAAACACAAACGAGACAATTCAAATGATAGACTCTTCCAAAAATAGGTGTGTAAGGTTGTTAGAAGTATTGTAATCTCGACTAGTTTCATGGTTAGAAATTTAGTTTTAGGCGTATGGCAGGACTAGGGGTGGGGTTACGGTTAGGCAGGGGTTTAGCAGTGACATTAGCAAGCCCTGTGTCGATTTTAGTTAACCAATGTAACTTAACCCCCTTGTAAAAAGAAGATTCTATTATCAGACACTGGTATAAAAAAAATCCCCCGAAAATTCATCTCCCCTATGCAATCAAATTAATTAATTTAATTAGAGGATCTACATATACGTTTTAAAATCAGTGTAAAAACATTTAATTTATTGAGATGACCCGAACAATAATTTTAGAATCTCTGTAAAAAAAAAGGCCGACAACCAACAACGACTATCCATCTAAAGGGAAATAATTCATTTGTCCGTGACGTCATCGACTGATAAAAATTGAACGAGCGTGTGGGAAAAAGCGGAGCAACTCTTTGCACTCTACACAACTCCAGGTAATTCTTGCACACTAATAGCACTTACCAGGTGGTCGGTAATTATAATTGTTTATTTAGTCAATTACTAAAAAAAATGTTATGAAAATTATTTTGAGTTGTTCCAAATTTAAAAAAAAAAAACTTTACCTGTTTATCAATGTTGAATAACAGATTGAATTTTTCTTCTAATTTTGTTATGTATTGTAGAAATAATCTGACAGAAACGTATAACAGAAAACAAATCATAGTATTGATTTCGTATAATATGCAAATCATTTGATCTATACGAAGACGTGATTTCAAGAACCAGCCAAGCAGATTATTCCCCGTGATCGAATTTTATAACCTTACAGTAAAATACGTGACCCTGTGACCTCTGACCTGTTATAATAAGCTCAGACAAATTAGACAACCTAAGTGGGTAGTTTCGACACCGAGGTATGATCTTCATTGCCCATACAGCCTAGGCCGTGTAAATATATTGGGTTAAAACCCGATCGAAGGATCTTCTCAAGTTGGATTATAAAAAAATTCAAGTGGGTTTCAACTGTTGCGGCTGTTTTTTTAAACTCATGCGGCTTACATTGTGTATCTTTCTTCCTGTGCTGGAAACAGTGTTCTGTACAAGAAATTGTGGTTTGTTACAAGAATTTTTTGTTGTTATAAAATAAGATGTTACTGTTGCAAAATGTATATGTTGTGAGATTGTTGAGCGTTTGTATGTTTGTTTAGGGTTCGTGGCTCTGTGGATTATTTGTATGTATGTTTCTTTAGATTTTTAAAAGTGTTTGTTGTAAGTTGGTATGGGAGTTTGTTGCAAGTTTGTGCGTTGGTTTGTAGCGGGTTTGTGGTCAAATCTTATAGTTTATTGATGACTGGTTTTACATGAAGAGATAGTTTCCAATCTTTCTAGATAATTGCAACAAATATCACAACACAGCCACTTAAATACTTTTTAAAATATGATTAGATATCAGAGCAAAAAGTCCAATCCAATCAAAATATATTTAATACAATACATTAAAATTAAGTGATTAAGCTTAGAGGATATACTATCATAACTAAAGAACGATTTTTTAAAATAAAAATGAATTCGAAATATCATTACTAGCATGTTTTATGCTATATCAAATAACAAAAATGTTGTACCACTGACTTTACATACCTCACAATTAAACTAAAATAAACCGGGAGTGATCTCCCCTAAACTTTCTCGAATATTCTTATGTAAAACAACAGGGGATGGGAACTCGGGCTATAGACATGATTTTTAATCCATTTTAAATACTTAAAGTTTTAAAAATAGAATAAAATCTCGTAGACAAAAGAATTGAACACCAAGTGAACGCCAAATAAAAAAGTGCATAATAGTGCACAATATTATTAGTACTTTAAAAATTTACTTTAGTTTTTTGAGAAATCGGAAGTAGCGTAAATTACTACTTCCGGTCAACGGAAATGACTCAAAATTTAACAGAAGGTAGAAAATTAGATATTTTACTCACAAGTGAAATTTCATTTATCTATCTGAAATAGTACTCCAGTTATAGGCTTTTGAAAAATTCAAAGTAGAAAAAGTACCACTTCCGGTTATCGGAAATCGCTCAAAAGTTGATACGGATCTACGATTTTGATAAAATACTTATATATGAAATTTCATCAACGGTACTCAAGTAATCGTGTTTACACACACACAGACACACAGACAGACACACAGACATACGGACATGATTGCAAAGCCCAGTTTTTCAGAATGGATTACGCATAAAACCTCTTAATTTTGATAAATCTGGATTGATAATTTTTGCCCGATTAAAGTAAGTCCTCTATACTTCGGATGTGATGAAGGACTGAGGTGTAATACGGTGAAAATTGTTA